CTGTCCCAGTTCATCTAAGGGTCTGGGCCAGCAGCCTGCTGAGAATTCATCAAGCCCAATTGAGCAGTTCAAGGCAAAAGACATTTAAAAAATAAAGTACAAACCCCTTGGGAATATTAAGAAACAACTCATCCAAAGTTTTCCAAAGACGTGCATCCAAGGCTCAAACCATTACAACAGACCAAAGCAGTACTCTCTAAACCAGAGCTGCAAAACGGCCACTTAGGAAAGCTACTACGTGAGACATCAAATGTATTCAGGTCTTTCCTTCACACAGGACTGGCTTAGAGGGACAGAACTTTCTTTTTCCTCTCTCTAGAAAATTCCCAAACCACAGTTTTATGGGCTCTATTATACTGATTTTTGAAACATTAGTCAACCCAAAATGCCATTTCCTTTGGATGGTTTAGATTATTCTCAATAAATTTTTGGTATATTGATTCAAATAAATGTTACCAAATCCTCAGTAAAAAATGTTTCCATGGTGAAATAAGTATGACCTCAAATGAAATCTTAGAGATTCCCAATGCATATGGAGAGCTCTGAGTAAAGAAAGCTGTTTCTAATCCAACAGTTCCCAAATATGTTTGACCATGGAACCTTCTTTTTACTAACCCCTTTTGATATTCCAAGGTTGAGAAACAGTGGTTTAAACATTTCTGTGACTTCAAGATCAAGATTAAGGTCTATTTCCTGTTGGGATCATTCATTCACCTATTAAGTAGACATTTTGTTAGTTGGCTTGTACGGGCCAGGCTCTCTACCTAGACCCCAACGCAAAGAAAAAGGAAGTGCTAAGATCCAGCAACTCTGGTATCTGTCAAGGTTAAGCAAAAGATAAAAATGTACATAAATATCAGCATTTTCATGTGATACAGGCTTCTGTGAACCCCTTCATTGCTGACAGTATGTACAGCACAATTTATATCCCAAGTTGTTCACTAAATATTTCCTGTGCCTTTGTCGTGTCTCTTCCGCTATATTGTTTATTACTTAAAAGCAAAGCTCATGCCTTATACTTGTCTAGTATCCTCTGTGGTACCTGGCATGGGATTGGACACATAGTAGGTCATCCAGTGAATACTGGTTGATTGACTGATTGAGGACTAAACTAGATAATCACTTGAGTCCTTTTCAATTTTGCAGTTCTAAGAGTCCTTTTCAAATACTGGTACAATCTTGTGCCTACAAAATTACGGTGAACCACAAAAGCACTGAATAATTCATTAGCTCTAGTTTACCAAGAGATGTCTTAATGCCACAAAAGTCACAAAATTGATGCACGCTGCCCCACCAAATAGACAAGCCACAGCAAACTAAAGCAATTTACTCGATACTTATGGACACAACTTAAGTGTTAACTTAAAATTTAGTGATTTGACCTTGTAATCAGAGAACAGTCACGTTCTGATCTTACATATGGGAATCCTGGAAATCAAGTGAACATTTAGCTATTCATTGTAGAATTTAATACAGATCAGGGTTAGCCACAATTGGTAACACTTGGGGAGTTGTTAATTTCTTCCTGGCAATTTCACTGTAACTTCCCTTCATAAATTTCAGATTTAAACTTGGCGTTGTCATCCAGACCTTATGCATGTTTATTTGATTTACATATGATGAGTGGCTCCTAATAGTATACTCAGTAAACAAACATCACCTCTGATGCTTTATGTATTTGAGAATTCTTCAGAGCCACAGAAATTTAATTTCGTAAGTGAAAAAGGAAGTGAATTTAGTGAGAATAAATTACATTAGGCTTTATTATGATACAGCAGGATTTCCCAACCTCTGTACTACTGGCATATTGGGCCAGACGATTCTGTGCTGTGGGAGGCAGACCTGTGCATTATGGCAAGTGTGCATCATCCTTAGCCTCTACCCACTGGATGCCAGTAGCACCCCTCCTACCCCCTTACCAAAGATGGCTCTAGACATTGCCAAATGTCCCTTGTGGGAGGAGTGGGAGTGGGAGAAGCCTCTCCTGGTTGAGAGCCACTGATGATAAAAGAACCCCTGGTGACTAAAGTCAGTTTTAAGACTAATGGTAAGTGAATTTTCAATTTAGTGGAGTATCGGTTAGTATGTTCCCAGAGAATGAAAATCAATGCTTATTGTGCTTTGGAACTAGATAAATCTGTCTTCTTTCTAGCCTGCGTGGCTTGGGACAAGTTATCTAGCCTCTCAGAGTCTCAATTCGCTTGTTTGCCCAAAATAGAGTACCTACTTTGCATGTGGTCTCAAGCATAAGTGAGCTATACACTGAAAAGCTTCTAGTGTAATGCCTGGCAAGTACCAGACATGTATTAAATATTTGTGTTCCCCTTCCTCCTTCCCCCACCCCGCCTGTTACTCCTCCCATGACCCCTTCCCCACACCCCACACCCACACCGCTTGCCCCAGTGCCTGGGATAAACACAACCAACATATATGCTTGGTGGATTCTTTCCTATTTTTCTTTCCATGGCACAAATAATCAAAAGCTGTCATATATACAAACCTTATGCGAGCTTTGGAGAACAGAACAGCCTAAGTCAACAATAAATAAAGGAGAATCTGAGTTCTCAACCCTTAATATTTCATGCCTAAGAACTTCCAGTTACAAGGAATATGTCCACACACATTGGACTAATTTATCAGCTTCTTATTCTCTGTCCAACATGGTAAGACTGTAACTTGACCAAACACAGGGGCTGCTCACAGGTTGACCATGTTTCTTACCAACACCCCCAAGCCATCCAATAGATCAGGTTTCTTTCTCAGCAACACTGACTGGAGCCATTGTCCCTGAAAAGGCCCAGGCTTGGCACCATGGTGGGAACAGTAACATGGAAATGTATCTGGTATAGTCCTAAACCTGAAGGATTTACAGAAAGGACACATGGAAAGGCTTATGGACCTTATGTTCATTATAAAGGCATTATAATAACATTACCAGTCATTTGGAAAATGGGAAAGAGAAGAAGGAGATCACCCAAAGTTGTAGCACTCAATACAACTGTTTTCATTTTACATATTTACTTCCAGGCCTGGTTCCCACACACATGTGTTTTCCCTTGGCTGCGACAATTTCACACATATTCTTCTCAACCTGTTTTGCCCCCAAACTGTACTAGATCACAGCATTGTCCCTGATTCTTACTGTCTTCACAGTTTTCACATTTGATGATTGCATAGAAATTCTTGCAGAAGATTTTCCATAAAGCAATGAATTAATTATCCCTTTTTTGAGGAACACTTGATTTCTGACTTTGCAATTATAAATCATTTAGTAGCAGGAAAAAAGTCGTAAATATAGCTTTTTCCCTCTCAGGACGTTTTCTTAGGATAAAACCTCAAAAGTAAGATTAGTAGGTTAAAAACTATGGGCATTTCTACAGTTTTAAGTATAATATTGTCAAATTATTTTAAAATACATGATTCTGTTTACAAAAGCTATTCATAGTTTGCCTAGAATGATGGTTTCCAGCTTCATCCATGTCCCTGCAAAGGAACATGAACTCATCCTTTCTTATGGGTGCATAGTATTCCATGGTGTATATGTGCCACATTTTCTTTATTTAGTCTGTCACTGATGTTCTCACTCATAAGTGGGAGTTGAACAAGGAGGACACAGGGACACAGGGAGGGGAACATCACACACCGGGGCCTTTCAGGGAGTCGGGGGCTAGGGGAGGGATAGCATTAGGAGAAATGCTTAACGTAGGTGACAGATTGATGAGTGCAGCAAACCACCATGGCATGTGTATACCTAGATAACAAAACTGCCATTCTGCATATGTATCCCAGAATTTAAAGTATAATAATTATTTAAAAAGCTATTCATAGTTTATTTCAAAATATTTACAAAATATAGAACAGTATAAAGAATAAAACAAAAATCACCCATAATCTCGTAATTCAACTACTGCCAACACACATTGTATTTCCTTCTAGTCTTTATTCCCCTGTGTCTGTCTTTAATATACGCATCTATCTAAAATTAGTTTTATTATAATATTATCAAGTCCTGGCTTCCTAAATGAGCAGGTATGACTGCTCTAAGGCATAACAAAGGGGTCTTATTAGAGTGCAAAGGATGGCTCAAAGGCTACCTGATTGCTTCAAGTATCCCAGTAGCCTTCTCCACTCATTCTGCTAAAGATCACTTATCTTCCCTCCTTGCCAATAGGACTGTCTAGCATTCCTGTTAAATGGAGCCTAACTGATCACATACAGGGACTGCATTCTAAAATCAATGTCTGAAAGGCCTTTGAACTGTAACCGGCTTTACCTTTCAAAATCCCTGAGGAAGGAGCCATGTTGGAGAACCATTAGTGTCTCTCAGTAAGTTCAACCAGCTAGTTATTTCTCCAGTGAGAACTAGTTGCTCTTTCTTGGGTTGAGCACAAGACAAAGTAGTTGGCTTACAAGGGGCTATATTTTTTTTAAAACACCAATCTTGAACACCAATATCATGCAGAATGAAAGTTGAATGGGAAGCAACTCTGACTGAAGAATGGTATGTTCAAATCTCAGCCTCACATAGTCATTTGTGGAATGACACTAAGAATCACCCTTACTTTTTAAGTGGTTCATCATTTTCACTCTTTCTTTCTCTCACTTTCTGTCTTCTTTCCTCCCTTCCTTCCTTTCTTCTTTACCTCTTTCATTGCTTCCTTTTTCTCTCCTTCTTTTAATTTTTTTCTGATTACATACAACTGAATCTACACAAGTTTAATGCTCTTATAACAAAAGGCCATGACATTCATACTGAATTGGACACTGCTCATAACAGGGAATTCCACCACAACTGGCAGCCCATTTCTTTAGTTGAATATCTTTAGAAACCTCATGTTGAAGTAGCACTTGCCTCTCTTCCAGTTCTGCCCATTGTGTTTCCTGGAATGATAGACAGCAGCTCTTCTCAGACTCCCTGTGAAAGCCTTCCTGAAGTTCTAACATCCGTACTTCATCCAACCCATTTTTGTTATGGTGTGGTTTTTCAGGTGCCTCACCTTCCTGGTTTGCCTTTAACACCTGCCACTCTGGGAAGAGAATGACTGTGGGTCTTGGGCAAAGCCTATAGCCTTCATCAGCCTGTTCACTGACCAACTGCACAGCAGTGACAGGGGCATGGCAGTGGCACAGAGCAATGGTGGAAGCACATCCCTGAGACAGCCTCTCTGCAGCCCCAGCTCCAGCAGCCTGCATCCCAGATTTATGGATGGCACCTGGTAAAGCATGATGCAAACTCAATGTGAAATCCAAGTACATCATCATCTATCTCTGTATTTGGTTTGGGGTTTTATTAATGACAGAGGATGTGATTAAACAAAGTTTACACTGTAACTAACTCCAGCTGGATCCAAGCATCAATGGGAAACCCCAATTCCCTTGATGTTGTCCTTGTGTCCTTTCTACTCACAATTTCTTTTCCAAGGCATTTTCTCTGAATCTGATAATGGTGAGGTCATATAATCTCATTTATTTTAAGAGACAGTCTGGCACGCCCAGCCCAGTGGCCCTGCAATGAAGGACTTTTGTGTTGAAGATGCTGTGAGCCCTTGGATATGGCCTTATCCTAACCGATGAGATGAAATCACTGTTTCGTTCTGCCAAGGCAATGTTATCATTGGGTTTGGGCTTATATTTGAAATTTTTCCAGCAGAAATCATATTCTAATAGACTCTAAACTGAAACATCATCATACATAATCTTGTAAGATTACCAGAAGCTGGTTCAATGAAATTTGGGTTCTTTTGGTAGAGTTGTTGCTTATTATAAAATGGCTATGATTACCTATTCCTTGGAATTTTTCTCTAGGGAAATTCAGGAATCACGTCTCACCAGCACAAGCTGAGTACTATAAGTCTGCTTGTGATTTGTGCAGTGATGTCTTCCTCCTCACCAGAGCTGAGGTTGAGATTATCTTCAAAGTCTTTCCTCAGTCTCTGTCTCTCTGATCTTTCTTTCAGCTTCTCTCTCTCTTGCTGGCATTGCTCCTTTGCCCTTTGGATCTCCCTCCACACCCTCCTTTGCTTTCTCCACTCCCCTCTGTTGCTTTCCTGCTTCCCCCTCTTCTCATTTACTTTTTGCTCTCATTCTCTTACTCCCCTCCTCTCCCAATTGCGTCCCACTATAGCGCCAATGTTCTCTTTCTACTATTTCAGTTTTCCTCTATAATAACATCAGGTTTCCTAAGGGTAAGACAAATCCCAGCTCACTTAGTTTGTTCCAGTGCCTATAGGTGTTGGGGTGATCTCATTCCATCTGTTCAGGATTCATCCATTCATGCCACCACATTCAACAAGCTCCAGGATGATGGGAAATGAGACAGCCATTTCTCCCTCTGTCCCTGACCTGGGCTTAGCCCCAGGATGGCTCCTAACTGGAATCAGCAGATCCAGCACCAGGGCCAGGGCCATCAATCATCAGTACCAACATTATCAGATATCCCATAGTGCCCAGTGGTGACAGGACCAAACTGCATAATTAATGGCCATGTTGTGCTCCTCTGATGTGCCTGCCAAAATGTCACTGTTACCCTGTAGGTGACAGCCATTGTTCACTGATGAAGAGCCTTCCTCTAATTCGCACCATCATACTCACTATTCTTGAGAAGCTAAAAGAAGATGGTGGCTTTATCTCTTTTAAAGAGAGTTTCTAGAGGCAATGGGCTGGTGGGCTAGAGCAACTTCCAGAGTTTCACCCAGTGCTTGTAATGAAAACCACCAATTTGCTGTATACATAGCAACGTAATTCCTAATATTAAGCTATCGACTGAACTCACTATGGCAAATCAGAAGATGGTTCTTTCTCTTCTGGTTATGTTTTTTGTAGTGCGAGATTTTTATTATTCTAGAAAAAGGCCATTTCACCTGTTAACAATGAAAGCAAATGTCTTGCCTAAAACAAACAAACAAACAACATACCGCTGATGGTAACTCAGCCTCCTCTTTTTTTGCCTTATGATTTATTTCTGTTATATGAAGCACTCACTGCTGAGAGCATGAAGCCTGGACAATTGAATCCTGATTGAGCAACTCACATGAATTCTGGGAAATAAAGTCAACAATTCACAAATTGAATCCACTTCTAAATGTTCATCCACCAAGGACTCTTGACATTCGATCTCTTTGCATTTCTGCTCAATGTTTATTGCTTTCCACTCGTCCCTCAAACCAAAGTCTTTGCTTGGTAATTTCTTGTTTTAGAAAGTGACAAACAGACCAAGCAGAGAAAACAGTGTATGTTTTGGACTAAAAATGAAATCATTAGGGTAAGTTTCTATTCTTGTCGACTGGAATTTTACTCTGGTTTTGATTAAGCTCAACAAAGATATTATATTTGATGCTTTCCTGTAAATGTATGAGATGGTTTGCTATTGCATGTCCATGAATGGAAATATTAACAGTCTCCACTTGGCTCCATCAGCCTCTGGCTTGGTCTTCACACCCAAAAAGCCAACCAAGAGAATCACATCCTTAGCCCAGAGTGAGTAGTTTCTGTCTTGCCTGCAGTTTTTCTTCACAGTCTCAGAATTAAGAGTAAGTCTTATCCAAAATACATAAAATTAAATGGAATAGCCACATTCTATTTCTATAAATTTCTCAGTAAGGAACAACTTCACATGTCTAAACATCTATCTTTCATTGCTACATTTCTATCAGATTAGTAGGTCCTTCCAAAATCTGTTCCTTGTTGGTTAGATTACTTCAGTGAGGAGAGAGTACGGGGTATGGGCTCCCTCAAGGGTATAAACAAAGAGAATGTCATGAGAGATAAGTAGAGAAGCCAAGGTATTTTACAAACTCAAAAGTGTGTGCTAATTTTTTAAAAGCAATTAGGTATATTCAAGCATAGAAGATGCACAGAATCCTACCTATACATTATCCGTATCATGGAAGTGGAAATTGACACTCAGAACAAAACCCAGAGGACAGAACTCTTGCTCCCTTGAATTGATCAGTGTTGTGAGCAGTGCAGAGTAGGGTTAAAAAGGAGTGAACCACAGAGCAAGGGACCTGGGCTATTGTCCATCATGCCACCCACTCAACAGTGTGATCTTCTACTTCCCCACTGTATTGCTGAGGTGAAGTTTCCTCATCTGTCAAATGAAGTTTGACAGAAGTTTCCTTATCTGTCAAATACTAACCTCAAAAGATTTTTAATGAGTATTTTAAAAGGAAATAAATATATATAAAGTGCTTAGTATAGTGTCTGGTACATAATACATAATACATGTTATTGATTTTTAGTGGTAGTAGTTGTATTCATTTCTAACCGACAGTTTATGCTAATGGAGTAATTAACATATTTTAACACATAATATTACATTACATTTAATTTCACACATAAAATATAGGTCATTCTATCCTTATTAATACTTCTAATACAGCCTAAGCTGTAGGCCAAAGAGGACTCTTGGGGATTTCTATCCTATCCCTGCCTTTTCTTCCTACAAACCCAAACTCAAACTCTACAATTTTGGCATACTCACCCTAGTCACTAGGAGCTCCCCATTCAGTCTGAACCAGTGACTGAGGAAAAAAGAAGTTTTCTAGGCGTCCTGCTCAGACAGCTGTCCTGCCACTTCTCCCGCTGCGTGGAAGGGCCAGGAGACAGCCATGCTCAGGGCCTGGCCTTTAACTCCCAGAACACCTCTCTTAGAAGTGGGAGTCGTTGCTGTCATGGAATTGGACTAACCAGAGGAGTGCCTCCTTCTGGAGGCTGAGAGGAGAGGTCAGAGAGGGTGTTCCCTTCTTTTAGAGGCCTAAGCACAAAGTCCACTTGTCTTCAGATGTGAAGAAATGGAAAAACTCAACATGGTCTGCAAAAATTGTGTACCTACCTTTAATAGATTGCATCAGGCAAATGGAAGAGCCTTTCTCATTTTGGAGGACCTTACCTGCTTTTAAAAATATGGCCAGGCGCAGTGGCTCATGTCTATAAACCCAGCACTTTGGGAGGCTGAGGTGGGCAGATCACCTGAGGTTAGCAGTTCGAGACCAGCCTGGCCAACATGGTGAAACCTCATCTCTACTAAAAATACAAAAAAAGAAAAAGAAAAAATCAGCCAGGCGTGGTGGTATACTCCTGTAATGCCAGCTACTTGGGAGGCTGAGGCAGGAGAATTGCTTGAACCCAGGAGGCGGAGGTTGGAGTGAACCGAGATCATGCCACTGCAGTCCAGCCTGGGCGACACAGCAAAACTACATCTCGAAGAAGTAAAAAATACTTGTGTGTGTATGTGCACATGTCTATATATAAATGTTCTTGTGACCATTACAGGTATTGCTCTTTTGAGATAATTCTAAGATTTATCAAGGTCTAAACTGAAAAATGTTATAACCAACATTATTGGAAATACAAAGCTGACAAAAGAAAAGAAAAATCTCAGGAGAAAGAAAGGAAAAAACAGCCCCAGAATGAGTGCTAGAAAATAGTATAATGAAATATATGAGGAATCAGGAATATTGATTTCTAGATCTAACTCTATTCACCAGTCAGTTGGAGGTTATATGGACCTACACAATTCATTTAATTACTCTGGAAGAGACTAAATGACCTCAAGGCTCAGCTGTCTTCTGCCTCTGGTGATTCTACTGATGGCCTATGAGGAGGTCTTGGAGAACACTGGTCAAACTTCCATGACTCCAAAGTTCTTTAACCCTTTAGAGGTGATAGGGATGGTGATGATGGTAGTAATGGTAATGGCAGTGTTGATGGTGGGGGTGGTAATCATGGCAAAATGTTGGAAGTGGTAATGCTGGTGGTGGTGATAGGATGTTGGTGGTGATAGTGGTGAGGAAGTGTTGGGGAAGATGGTGGTGGTGATAATGATGGAGGAGGTGATAGTGGTGATGGTGATGGAGAAAGTAGTGGTGACGATGGTGTTGGAGGAGGTGATGGTAGTGATGGAATGGAAGAAGTGGAGGCAGTGATGGTGGTGGTTGTTGAAGATAATGCTGCCATGCTTTATGGATCTAAATTCTATACTTGACCTATCTAAATGCTGTGATAGATTTCAGAAGTGGGCAGAGAGGGAAAGCACTTAGGTCCTGGGACTTAATGAATACAGGTGCACAAAGAGCATTGGTACTGGTCTCTGCCCATAACCATCACATGTGCCTTTTGAAGTTATTCTTCTGTTTGGGACAATGCAGGCAAAACATACATGCTCAGGCAGATACACAGTGTTCTACTGGTTGTGAAATTTTTGGTGTGTGTTTGT